ATATTTTGCTCCAGAAGCAAGGTGTCTAAGTGTAATTGCTAACTTGAGTCCTGGTTCTAGCGGATTTCTGTAAAATGTGTTCTGCTTTGCTATGCGAGGGCCGACCCGCTGCAGTATCTCGTCGAACATCTCTGGGAGCATTCAAAGAAAGTGTACAAAGGACAGCCGATCCTCCCACCTAAGTTCAGTCATGAGTTGGTCATATAGACCAAAACTGCGTCGTCTTTCAGGACTAAGCCTTGATCTTGTCCACCATCTCCTTTGTCTTCTCCTTCTTCTCCTTTCGACAGCTAGTAGGTTTATATTTGCAACATTTGAGTTCAGTCTGACCTGAATAAGAGCTGCTTTATAGTGAAGACGTGCTCTAACTCCAAGATCCGTCATGAATAATGACACTCAAGAAATCTTAAATTCCAATAATTGACGAAATTTTCAATTGGCATTTATCCGTTTTACATTCGGTACGTATCCGTTTTATCCTTCCGTTCATGTCCGTTTCACATCCGTTCATCATCCGTTTTATCCGTTATACGTCCCGTAAAAGTCCATTGGTGAATTGACCTACCGGACCTCCAACGGATGTATAACGGACAAGTAACAGATACAAAACAGAAACGGAACGGACGAGTACCGTAAAAAACAATCGCCTACCGGACGTTCAACGGACACTTCATCCGTTGGACGTCCGTTCAAAGTTTGGAACAAGTTCAAAATTTTCCACCGAACAGAACGGACATCGACGGATAAAACGGACGCTGAACGGACATAAAACGGATATGGACGGACGTCTAACGGACATGAACGGATTGAAAAAAAAATTATCCGTCCGGCGTCCGTTCGCGCTATCCGGTAAGGTGTGACCGGGGCTTTAGGCTTTAAAAAGTTATAATCATCAATTAAAAGACGTTATCAGACTTTTGTTTAAAATAAAAAAAACAAAAAAACAAAAAAAAAACAAAAAACATATGTAACTTTAAATTTAGATTAAATAGTTAAAAAAGATATTATTAAAAAAATAAAAGAAATCGGAGAGTAATCACGCTTAACATTACCATCCAGTAACTTATATTTCATAGTATGTTCCAAGCTATTTTAAACTGTATGTATGCAAAGGATTTCCGGTCAGTTTTATCAAATCAAAAACTAAATATACATTACCTCGATTCTGAATTAGTTTCCTATTATTAAATATTAAGGTGCTTCCATAATTTTTTTAACAGATATTGTAAAAAGCAAATTAACTTATAATTAAGAATCATCGCACACCGAATATCGGAAGTAAACAAAAATATAACATTAAAGTGCGACTAGCAATATAAAAGGTTTTTACCACTGCGTGAATTAAATGTTAAAGCCTAAGGAAAAGGAAAATAATTCTATCGGAAACTATGACAAGCACAAATAAAATTAAATAAGAAATTGCGCTTTTTTCGCTGCAATAACTTTATGGCAGATTTAAATTTGTTTCAATAAACACTCTTTGCCTATCCCGATTTATAGAAAAAGGTGAATTATACTAAGTATATATTTAGAATTTTTGTAGCAAGGTAATCCTAAAGGGAGTGAAAATGGATTGTAACAACCACCATTTGGCCATCGAAGAATCATGACAGGTATTAAAGACAAAAAACACATTAAAACAGTGCTAAATAAATAAATGTACACAAAGGTCACAACAGAATAAGTAACACAAACCCATATTAAAATTGTCAAAAACAGACCTGTCCACATGGCGAGTCTGAACCAGACATGCCAACATGATTGGAGCAGTTCTAATAAGCAGACATTAGTCTTGTCTGCCACTGGATAGTTAACGTGCCAATCTACTGTAAATACTTAAGGAAAACTTCGGAGGCAGTCAAAATGTTGCTCATAATTAATTGTATACATGTTATGACAATATTCATCTGTAATAGAGACGTGTATTGCATTTTGATGTATAAATTTTCTTCAGGTAAAACTATATATAACGGGCTTTTTCTAATTATTTGTCTTTCTATTATAGTGTTGTTTGCTCCAGTTTTACACTTCCATATAAAAGAACATATAACAATAAATAATATGCTTCGTAGCATTAATTTTGAAACAAAATATGTTATTTACAAACAACATAATTTAAAAAGATAGACCGGGCGTCAGATCTAAAAAAAATGCTAAACTATTTGAGTAATGAATTGTTCATCAGACAGGGGGAATTCAAAGGGACAATAATTGCACGCCACATGGTGAAAACATTTGTCTACATTTAGATACATCATATGTCGAAACGGCTTGTAATAGAACAAGGAAGACATTGTATAATATATTTGTAATTTAATCCACTACGTACATGACGTCAATGATCTCTCCATACTTTATGAAATACAGATATAGTATTTGACAGTGACCATTTTAAAACGTATTATAAATGAAAGTAAATAATGTAAACAAAGGCGAAATCTTCCTGTTTACAATTACACGGAAGAAAATCATAAAATTTTATTTTTGTCATATTTTTTTCCGTTTATTGCTCGCCAAATCAATACATTTTACGATTAAACACTTTTTTCTTGAGTTTATCGATGTGTTAACTGGGACGATTAATACAAACACAATCCACAGGATATTTATGTTCAGTGTGTGAGTCAGCGGTTGAATTAACATCAATAACTTCTAAAAAAATATGAGTTTAATGCATATCATTTCTTAACGTAAACATTTGCAATTTATGATTTACAATTTTCAGCATAAACCGTCAAATCCACAGTGGACATGTTGTTACTAAGGAGCGATCCGCCATATTGACCTGTTGAAATCCATAAATAATCAATGCAAATAAATTGAAAATGAAACGATACCTTACTTTAAAACTCCATTGTAATGAGATATTGTCCAAATTTGAAGCGAATGTAACCTTTGGCGTGATTATTTTCATTGGTATGACATTATTTGTTGCCATGACGTAAATGCGCCACAACCATTTATGAAATTTTGCGGCATGTTATCTTATTATCCTTGTATATATTCTCTCAAACTCTAATGCATTATTTTATATATTAGAATATAGGAAACAAAGTTCTGTAATTTTTTTTTTTCAATTTCCATTTTCTTCGAAGCAAAGGATTACATGAATGTGTATCGTATCACGCATGAATATATCACAGTGAAACTCCATATAGAGTTTACATAAGTTACTAAAAAAGTTTTAGCAACATGATTTATCGAAGTGTGAATAAAAAAAAAAAGTTCTAACTGACCAGTTCTGGATATTAAAGTATTTGTAGATATGCAAACCATAAAAGGGTTCATATATATGAATAAATATGTAAACGATAAAGGAATGAAACGACGGGCACATTCTCTTTTCCATATCAGCCAAGAAAAAGTCCAAAAAAAGACTCCCTTTTCGCTGGTGGTCAAATATAATTTCTTATTGCTATAATAAATGCAGTGGTGAATTGACAAAAGCATGCCAAAATAAGAAACACATACGATAGACGGAAGAGTTTCTTATGAAGGCTGTAGTTTGTGATATAAATGTATACACTATCCCAGAGGGGTGGGGGATTATTTGCAAATTTAATAATAAGTATATCGTATCACGCATGGATAAATCACAGTTAATAAACCAAGATAAAAGATTCAGTAATACGGACTTGTTTTGTGTATTGTTGTTTGTCTTTTTCTTTTTTTACCATGGCGTTGTCAGTTTATTTTCGACTTATGGGTTTGAATGTCCCTTTGGTATTCTTCGCCTCTCTTTTATAAGACATGTTTAAATCAAATATATAGTTATTGTAAATAGGACCAACAATCCAGCTATGGACAACAAAGGCATGTAAAATTAATATAAAAATATACCCATGGGAAATCAAAAACGATGAAATTATGAAAGGCATACATCGCAATGAACCTATCATGAATATATTACCTAGTTGGCTGACAGTTCATTTGTAGCAGTATTAAAATTAAGTTAGTAATTATGAAGCATGTTACGTGTATTAATACCAATATGTGGGACCAAAAGTGTTTGTATGTCTGAATCATCATTCTATTCTCAATTCGTGTCCGGTAGAAGGGGTTTATTTCATAAGTATGTTAAAGATAAAAAACAAAAATGCTGAGGGATAATTTTGGTCTTGATATTTAAGGGATAAGACGTTTACAATATATAAACATGATATTATTACCAACAATACAAAAGTGCAATTTACAAATGTTAGCAATTGACTGACCTTACTCCTAATGCTGATAACAACTACTGAGTCTGTTGTGCTGTTTTTGTGTGCTGTCCTATGTTGTTTTACGTGTTTGTTTTTATTCTGTGATTAGCATGTCGAAATGTACTATTGTATTGTTTATTTGTGTATTTCTCTGTACTGAATGTTCTTGAATTTATTTGTACTGTATTCCTGTCATGTAATGTTGTAATTTTAGTGTTATATTTAACATTGTCATAAAAGCGCGAGGTTTGTCTAGCTACAAAACCAGGTTCAACCCACCATTTTTTTCTTAAAATGTCCTGTACCAAGTCAGGAAAATGGCAGTTGCTATCTTATAATTCGTTACTCTGTGTGTTGCATTGTCGTTTGTTTTTTGTTCACTTCAGTGTTTCTGTTGTTTCGTTGTTTTCCTCTTATAATTGATGTGTTTACTTCGGTTTTAGTTTATAACCCGGATTTGTTTTCTCTCAATCGATTTATGACGTTCGAACATCGGTTTACCACTGTTGCCTTTATTTATTCATTAATGTTTGCAAAATACAAAATGTCCAGATAATTTCATTTTGCGTAAAAAGGGATGTTCTACTTTGAAGCCGTCTCAGAGGGTACTTCGGGTTTGACAAATTGAGTAATATTGAAACACACAGGGCACTCCGTACATTTACCAAAATATGTGAAAATATAACGTCTTGAAAATGCGCATATTGACCAAGTTCAGACAGGGGATATACTAGCGAGAAAACATATTGAAGCTAAATGTTAAATAACGAATAGAATAAAGTTGTATATTAAACTTACCCAATGTCCGTATAAAGAAATTATCTCCTTCAGTGATGGATTTTTATAATAAATATTTCACTTTATAAAGCATACTTTTCTCTACTAAAAGTTTAAATGACTACTAATGAAACACTCAACACATTGTATACTTGTCATGAATTCATTTCAATAGTTTCAAACTAAAGGGGTTTAATGCATGTGTTATGTGATAGGCGGGACTAACGAAACGGATTTACGTATAGGCATTCATAAATAACTTCAAGTATTTTCGTTACCTGTGCATAACTAATCAAAAGGAAAAATAGATCTATGTGTTTCAAAATGTCACCAACGATTTTCTAAATAAAAGAACCGTGGTCAAGTCTTGTTTCAAAAAGATTATTATACTGATAATTTTTTAATGAGTATTATGATGCACAAACTAGCTTTGAATTGAACAAATTGATAACGATTTTGAACATCTAGAAGTCTTGTTCAATGCTTGTGCAATGTTATGATAAAATTGACATTTTAAAGGCCAATTAAAATATAAAACTCAAAAATGTACATGCCTTTTATATATATATATATAAGAATAAACCGAAAACAAACATTATATACAAACGACAACCACAAACCTTTAAAAAATTAGGAAAAAAAGGCTTAACCTATCAGATCAATACAAAGCACAAACAGATCTAGCAAAAACACAAACAAAATAAAAATGTAAAGAAAGCAAGTTCAAAGCCAAATTCAAACATTGATAGGTGAATACGTTTAACTTAGTAGTATAGACAAAACAGTTCATTTAAAAACGACTGTCTTGTGAATGAAATACATCCATGAACATGCCCTTTTTCATACATTTAAAGTACTCTATCTGTCAAATGTTTCTTAATCAGTGAAACGTCAATTGAGTCAGTGTTAAAGACAATATTTGCGTTCGTTTAACGTCTGTCATTACGCATGTAAAATGTACTTTTTGTCTAAGTTGACCATGGGTTGTAGTATAGGTCCATTTAATAGATATTTGGAACAACGTAAAGTGGAATTTTGCCTGTGCACACTTGAACTCACATGTGTAGTACAATATAAACGACCTAGTTACTTGAACAAAAAACTTGAGTAATCCTTTTTTTCCCTTCTATTTTGAATTTTTCCAAAATGGCCGACCAATGATTCAAAAATATTTATATTTCCGTATTTAAGTCACACTCTTTTTAAACCTTTTTTTTTATTTTTACAATAGTTTTTTTCCTTTCATATTTTTAAAGTAATGAATAACAGAAAAATCTAAGATAGTCCAGATTTCGCTCAAGTTAGATTTGAAACGAAAATAATATTTCTAATTGCGTAGAATTCTTAAAAGAACAGTTTTAGAAACAGAAAAAATGGCATTTGAAAATATCTCAAATTATATTCTACATGTTAATAGGATTGTGAAACAGAATATTTTACATTTCGTGATAAACTTATATTTTGAAATATTTCATCATATTCAAGGTTGTGTCTTAACTGACCATATCATGACAGTTATATCTCTAATAAAAATTGTTGACAGCTGTATTTATTTACAAACATAAACATAGTCATCTATTTGATTTATTATGAATTTTGTTTTAAATTACATTTATCTTTATTTTCCCGCTGTTGCAAAACGGACAGCTTACGAGCAGGAACATTTTAACATTATTTCTGTCACAAGAGACAAGCTCCGAGTATACTGCGATCTACCTGCAATAATATTTATGGAAGATATGTTCAGATATGCAAGTGCTACGGTCCTTTCAGCAAAGTGGAATCTTTTTTTTCCAGAATTCAATTCAAGGTAAATTTCAATAATGGTAAAGCAACAAAACCTGAACATGACCATCGTTAGGCTTGATAAAGTTATAATCATCAATGAATTGACGTTGTCAGACTTTCGTTTAAAATTAACAAAATCATCATGTATGTAATCTTAGATTTAAATGAAATAGTTAAAAGGATATTGTAAAAAAAAAAGGAAAACGGCGAGTAATCACGCTTAACATTACCATCCAGTAATTTGTATTTAATTTCCAGTCCAAACATAAGAACACCAAAAGTTCCATTGACTATTAAAGGAAATAAATACTGCGATAGAACACATCAACGTCAAATCCCTAGTATGTCCTAAACTATTCGACCTAATAATGGATAAGATTGTTGGTAAGTTTTGTCAGTTCAATAACTAAATATACATTGCTTCGATTATGAATTAGTTTCTTATTAAATACTAACGTGTTTTCGTTTTTTTTATAGTCATTTACTTTATAAATACATGAGTATCAGATCGGATTTATAGTTACTCATGATTCTTTGTAATCGTAAAAGCGTGTATCTGGTTCGTTTGTTTGTTAATAAAACAACAAAACAAAATTCAATTTAATAATGTTAAAGTGTCATTCTAACACGTCTTTTCATACTTTATATAAAATACAGATATAATATTTGACAGTGAATACTTTAAAACTTCTAGAATATTATAGTAGATAATGTAAACAAAGTCGAAGTCTTCCTCTTTACAATAACACGGAAGAAAATCATCAGATTTCATTTTTGTCATATTTGTTTTTTTTTTTTCATTTATTGCTAGCCATTGTTGAGTACAGGGTAATTATTAAATCAGTGTTTTATATGCTACTCATATGAATACATAATACTATTTAACACCTTTTTCTAAAGGTTCTCGATGTACTAACTGGGGCGATTAACAGTCTACAGGACTTTTATGTTCAGTGTGCTAGTCAGCGGTCCAATTGACATCAATAACCTCTAGAAAATATGAGTTTAATCCATATAATCTCTTAATGTAAACATTTGCCGTTTATGATTTATACAATTTTCGGCATTAGCCGTCAAATCCACAGTTGATATGTTGTCACTAAGGAGCGAGCGCAATATTGACTTGTTGAAATCCATAAATATTCGATTAGTGTAAACAAAATGGAAATGAAACAGTACCTTACTTTAAAACGCCATTGTAATGAAATATAGTCCGAATTTGGAGCGTATATAACCTTCGACGTGATAATTTTCATTCGTATGAAATTATATGTTGCCAGGACGTAAATGCGCCACAACCATTTATGTAATTTCGCGGTATGTTATCTTATTATCATTTTATATATTTTCCCAACCTCTAATGCATTAATTTATGTATTAAAGTATAGGAAACATTGTTCTGTGATTTTTTTTCAATATCAATTTTCTTCCAACCAAAGGACCACATGAATGTATATTGTATCACATACAGTTTACATAAGTTACTAAAACAGTTTTGGCAACATGATTTATCGAAGTGTCAAGCAAGAGAAAAAGTTCTAACTGACCAGTTCTAGCTATTGAAGTATTTGTAGATATGCAAACCATAAAAAGGATTCATATATATAAATAAATATATAAACGATAAACGATAAAGGAATAAAACAACAATCGAATCCTCTTTTCCATATCACCCCAGACAAAGTCATAAAAAAGACGCCCTTTTCGCTGGTGGTAAGAAATAATTTCGTTTTGCCATAATACATGCAGTGGGGAATTGACAAAAGCAGGCCAAAGTAAGAAACACATACGATAGACAGAAGAGTTTCTTATGAAGGCTGTAGTTTTGTGATATAAAAGTATACACTATCCCGGAGTGGTGGGTGATTACTTGCGAATTTTATAATAATATGTATATCGTATCACGCATGAATAGATCACAGTAAACAAACCAAGATAAATAAAGGCAACAGTAGTATACCGCTGTTCGAAATTCATAAATCGATTGAGAAAAAAACAAATCCGGGTTACAAACTAAAGCTGATAAAAGATACAGTAATACGGATTTATACGACATGCTTATATCAAATATATAGCTATTGTAAACAGGAAACACCATACTGATATGCTCAACAAAGGCATATAAAAATACACCCATGGGCAATCAAAAACGATGAAATTATGAAAGGTATGCATAGCAATAAATCTATAACGAATATATTACCAAGTTAGCTGACTGTTTGTCATGTTTTTTGGTAGCGGCAATAACATTGATGTAGTAATAACGAAGCATGTCACGTGTTGTAATACCAATATGTGGGGCTAAAGGTGTTAGTATGTCTGAATCATAATTCCATTTTCAATTCGGTGCCGGTAGAAGGGGTTTATATCAAAATTATGCCAAAGTTAATAAATAAAAATGCTGAGGAATAATATTAACCTTAATATTAAAGGCAGGGCAATCCGTACACTTATCATAATATTTGAAAAATCAACGCCTTGAATGGCGCATATTGAGCGAGTTGAGACAGGGGATATACTAGCGAGAAAACATATGCAAGCTAAATGTTAACACAAATTGTATTATTTTGTATTTTAAACTTACCCAATTTCTTTTAATGAACTTTTCTCCTCCAGTGATGGTTTTTACAACAAATATTTCACTCCATAAAACATACTTCTCTCTACTAAAAGTTTTAATACGAACTACTTATGATAGACTTTACACTTTATATAAGGGTTATTGATGCACTTCAATAGTTTAAAAAAAAATCCTTTTATAGCAGGCGGTATATGAAAGGAGGGACTTACGAAATATAGATGTATTCATAAATTACTTCAAGTATGTTCGTTACCTGTGCTTAAATAGTTACTTGTTTTTAAGGGGAAAATCGATGAATATGTTTCTAAATGAGGTCATCCTGGAAACGACTGTTTGGTAAAGAAATCAAAATAGATGATGTTTCTCACAAAACGTGTAGCACAAATCCCATTATCATTTAGAACGTAGTTTCAGACGATCAGATATTCAACAATTTTAGTTTAAACGATACGTATTCAGCCAAATCATCACATAACGGTATAATCTAATTGAAATAAATTTTTAGGATTCAGAAACAAGCAATTGTAATTTTAATATATGAATGATCTATATTGTAATCTTAAGTTTGTTCCCGTAGCACTGTTTTACTTTGTGTAAAGACAAAGGGACAAAGAAGACATACAAGAGGAAGCCATAGTACCCTGAGAGAACCACTAATCTTTGAAAGAAATACTGCCAATCCTAGTTAATTTAAGATAGATGATCGCGCCGGTTTAGAGGAGGTCAAATTTAACTTTATCATTCCAGTATTAACATAACGAGAATATTTTGTTTTTTTGTAATGTTGTTTGTCTGTTTGTTTGTTTGG